CAGGGGAGGAAGGTACAGTACGAGGAGGAGGGTGAACCTCTACACTTGTAACAGAGCCAGTGAGAGGGGGGAGAACCAGGGACAGAGACAGGAGGGTAAAAATGAGGAGGTGGAAAAATGGGTAGGAGGTGTTAAGGGACCTTTTTTGACTTTTGAGAAGTAGAGGGACGATTGGGAGGAGGTGTCATACGAGATCTCGTCGTTACTGAGGCTTGTGAGAGAGAACACGAAGAAGCGAGATCAGACTGAGGCGTTGAAGAAGGGAAGTCTGAGCTGAGGACAGCAAAAGGATTAGATACAGGAGTGACTATGGGAGAGGTAACCACAGAGGTGGGTGTAGAAGATGGGATACCAGAAGTGGGGGGGACGTTTTGAAACACGGGAATAAGAAACACGTGGGAGTCTCCCTTGGAGGCGGAGATGAGAAACTGCCATGGCATAAGGGAGACCTTCTGTCTCTTTGAGGTAACGGATTTCCCGCTCGTTTAAATAGACTTGACAACGGCGAGAGTACGAAGGGTGAGCCTCATGACAGTTAAGGCAAGAGGGAGATCGATTGCAAGATGTATGAGAATGGTCATCGCACCACAGACTGGGCATTCGGCGATAGATCGCAATATTTCGCTGGATGGCCAAATCGCCAGCAATTTCTACACTTTTTGCGGTGTAGGGATCACCTTTCGGACTTGTAACCGATGTCCTGCTATATAAACTGAGGATGGGAGTTCTCGGCTGTCAAAAGTTAAACGAGCCACATTGCTAGGGTATCGTCTCCTCCCGCGGGCAGGAAGAACGTAAGTGTCTACCTTGAGGATTGGGAGATCTTGGAGTTCCAGCTGTTCAAGAATGTCAGTGCCATATGTCTGGAAATTTTGTTGAACTATGTATGGGGCAGAATGATGGTACCACTACAAGAATTGAGGGAATGATGTTTTTTCAAGAGTGACAGGAACAGTATCGATATGGGAAAGACGAGAGAGCTCATGAGCCTGGGTAGCATTCTGTACGGTGATGATGAGCGTACCGCTCTTAAGAGCATGAAAAGAAATATCTTTACCAACATGGCGTAGGAGTGCCTTGCCAATACTGTGGTCAGAAAGATAGGCAGTAGAGGAAGTCGGTCGTAAAGTGAAGAATTTAGTCCATTGTTCAGTCTGAAACTGAGCGTGGAAAGGTAGTGAAGGACGTGTCGATCGTTTCTGAGAAGAACGAGAGGGTGGAGAAGTATCATCAGCAGGTAATTGTCGTTGGCGTTTAGGCGTGGGACCAGAGTTGGTCCGACGTGGAACGGGTCGGCGATTTGAAAATTGCCGCACCGTAGAGGGAGAGGCCGGAAGCATAGTCAGAGGAGAGCGAAGGTTCGATAAATCGAAGGAGTCAGTCGAGGCCTCAGTACCTGAAGCGGGTGAGGAAACAGCACCGGCAAGAGGTACAGAGGCATGAGGAGTGTCTGAAGAGTGGTCCAAAGACGAGGCGGGGTCCCGAACAGGGTGCGGTATCAAGAAGGGGCCCGGGGGTAGGAGGTTCATGGACTAGGGCTGCCATGGTTAGGTTACCCTTTTTTCTTTTTGTTTTTAAGAAAAAAAAAGAAAGAAGAAAAGAAAATAAAAATAAAAAAAAGAATAAAAAAAGGGGGGACCGGGGAGGGATAGTTCCTAGGAGGAATGAAAGGGCCAGAAATCTCCCTCCGCGCCCAAGAGGACCTCAGCACCGCAAGTAGCACAGATGCAGCATGGAACCCGTGCCATACCCTACCCATCATGCTAGTAAACTAACAATCCGGGATAGCAACCTCACATCTGCCGAGCTACCTCGGTGGACAAAAGAGAGGGCGGCCGGATATCCGCCACAAAGCATACCGCCTTCGGCCACCACCCCCGGAATCCGAAAGGTGGCTTCCAGAGATACACCCATCGCCCGAAAGACACCCAAAGCTACTCCGGGATACCGAAGAGGGATCGGGACATCCCCAGGCGATCCAGATTCCACGGCAAACTACGCCACCGCCAAGAACCTCAATGGAATGGGATGGACCCCGGTATCCTTTCCCCTACCTAGGAACTAGCGCGCCTGTGGGAGAAATCCCAAAGGCCGAAAAGAGGAAGGGCAAAAGGGAGGGGTGGGGAGGAGGAGGAGGAAAGGAAAAAGGGGAGGATGGGATAGGGGAGGGGAGATTGGGGGGTAATTAGGTTCGGTCTGAGGAAGAAGACCGACAGGTCTAATTCCTCAGACCAAGAGCCTCTTCACCACGCCAAGGAGCCCCCCTTGAAGAGGACTGTTGGTGGAAGCACCTAAATGTAGCTTCTTTGGAGTAATGCCAAACCACCTGTCCTGTCATCAAAAGGAAGTAACTGAGGGGGCTGAAGACCGGTGACTACATCCACCAGTAAGTGGCTCTACAATAAGGGAGGGTAGTAGTAGTAATTGTGATATTTATGGAACTTTGCCTGCAACAGCAAGGGAGACAAGTTCCTGAAGGAGATGGAGGGCTCAGCCTCATAACTGAAATTTCACCCTTTGATTCTTAAGAGTCATTGTAGGACAGTTAATGAAACTGACTTCCTAGTGGTTCTACAATCAGAGAAATATACTGCTTGATTTAAAATTGTGATCTCTATGGTGAAAGTGTTTTAGGTAAGCAAAGCTTACCTAAAACACTTTCACCATAGTGATCACCATAGAGATATTTTGCTATAAATTTTTACGGTAAATTTTCTAATGAACAAACTTCTTGTAAAAGGTATTTACATAAATGATTCCTTCTCAATGCAATATATACAATGATTTTTCTTTAGCCCTTATATTTTTTAGTGATTAAAGCACACTTACCAGGTCCTGAATGACCTTTATGAATTAAGCACTTCATGATTTTTTGTTTTAATACGTTGGCCATTTCCCACCATGGCAGGATGACCCAAAAAGAAAGAAACCCCCCCCCCCCCAAAAAAGAAAAACACTAACATCATTATTCAACACTTTCACCATCACTCATACATAATCACTATCTTTGCAGAGGCGCTCAGATACAACAGCTTAGACGTCCCTCCAAACTGGCAATATCCCAAACCCCTCCTTTAAAGTACAGGCATTGTACTTCCCATTTCCAGGACTCAAGTCCGGCTAATTGGTTTCCCTGAATCCCTTCACAAAATATTACCCTGCTCACACTCCAACAGCTTGTCAGGTCCCAAAAACCATTCATCTCCATTCACTCCTATCTAACATGCTCACGTACGCTTGCTGGAAGTCCAAGTGTGCATGACGACCCCTACCCTGCCTTCCTTTCCCTACAGATTTATATGCTCACCAAGTCATTCTACTTTGTTCAACTCTCTCTAAATGACCAAACCACCTCAACAGCCCCTCTTTAGCCCTCTGACTAATACTTTTAGTAACTCCACACCTCCTAATTTCCACACCACAAATTCTCTGCTTAATATTTATAGTACACATTATCCTTAAGACATGACATCTCCACTGCCTCCAGCCACTTCCTCGCTGCAGCATTTACAACCCTTGCTTCACACCTCATGTAAGAATGTTGGTACCACTATACTCGTACATTCCCTTCTTTGCCTCCATGGATAACATTCTTTGTATCCACAGATACCTCAATGCACCACTTACCTTCTTTTCTTCATCAATTCTATGGTTAACCTCATCCTTCATAAACCCATCCGCTAACAAGTCAACTCCCAAATATCTGAAAATATTCACTTCTTCCGTACTCCCTCCTTCCAATGTGATAGCCATTTTTTCTTTATCTAAATTGTTTAATACCCTCATCACCTTACTCTTATCTATGTTCACTTTCAACTTTTTATCTTTACACACCCTCCCAAACTCATCCACTAACCTTTGCAACTTTTCTTTAGAAATCCCCAAAAGCCCAATATCATCAGGAAAAATATATATTATGATAATAATTTATACTTAAAGGTTTGTTGCAAAGAATTTTATTACCATAATGGCCCAGGGTGTTGATAAGCCTTAAATCTTAATACCTTATAACATGAATTTATGTAAGTGTAAACTTATTATCTGACATTTGTAAGGGGATAAAATGGCGTTTCGCTTTTCGGTGATTTCTGCTTTAAGGTGGTAGCCTGGAACCTAACCAGCCTTATAAGTGGGGCCCCATTGTATGTGTAACATGGGTTTTAGTGCACCTATGTAAAGATGATTTGCACTTTATACCTCAGCTTTCCAATTACAATAGTATTGTCATGTCATGTACATTAATTTTAATGTACATGACATGGCAGTACTATTGTAGAGTATTCTGAACTTGTTCATTTTATTTACAAATCCTGTACAGTACTGTATTGATTTACAGGTTACAATATTTTTAGTGTCCAGTTATCTTCTGAATCAATGGACCAAGTCTGCTGATTCCAAACTTTGTTCATTTATGTTACAATCGTGAAAATAAATTTTATAATTCGAATCAACAGAAAAACAGCAATAACACACACCCTCCTCCACCTCATTAGTCAGTTAATTCAAGGGTTCACTGTACATTAAAGTTACACTGATTATTTTGCCAGCCATATCTCACTTATTACCTATGGCAGAACTTATGAAATAGCACCTAAAAATTATATAGTGTGTTTTTTGTAAAATCATAACCAGACCCCCCCCCCAAAAAAAAAAAAAAAAAAACTATAATCACAATAGTGGGTGATTATGTTAAATATTAACAACACATACTATATCTGAGTGCACAAATCCCAAGGTGTTTTAGGATAGGCTATCTGAACTATTACTGCTCTTCCCTGTCTATTTAACAATGTACACAATTACATCTTCAAAATATAACTGATATATTAATAATACTGTATATAAATAACAAAGTTAGCTGTGTTATTTTTATAAATTGAAGGATTTTCATTCAAGAATTAGTAAAAAAAAAATCATGCTACTAATATTAGCCATCAAATTCTACACCAATGCCCATAAAAATAGGCCACTCCACTCTAAGCACTAAGCCCCATACTTACTGGATCCGATCAGGATCTCTGAAAGGATCACCACGCATGCACGAGAGAGGACAAAGGAAAAGTATGAGCCATTGTTTAACAGTAAATAAATCTTCATTAAAATAAAGAATGTCCACATTCTACTTTGACACAACATGAATCACAGAGAGAAAAAATGAACCATACACCATATATATTCTACATTTACATCAATGACAAAACTTAAGATAATACTATGTACTTTGAAATTCCTCATAACAAAACTCACATTTACACAATACTGTAGACAAAGAGACAAGATAAATATGGTAGGGATCTTCCACAGATGGCGTAATAAAGAGATGCTTTATCATTCTTATGGAGGTCATACTTTTATATACTAAAGTGAAGTGGTTTTCTTTAATCTGTAGGAGTGGAGGTTATAATGAAATGAAACCACTTGACATGAAGTCTCATGGTCAAAAAAAAAAAGAAGCAACTGTCTTGGTTTGTTGTTAAAATGTGCTTGTTAGTATTATTGAACTTTGCCAGAATACTGCAAGCATTAATTTTTCTGTTAGCCAGTTACTGAGCACTATATACTGTAATGTTTTAAAAGAGTTTAGTCCTATGTTTATAAGGCATTTCTGGCATGTTGAGGCTGAAATGTTATCCTAATTATTATTTTCTATGTACCACCTTTCTCATACTGACAAAGATGGAAAAAGTAACTAATATATTTCCTAATAAAATAAATCAAGTCAGTTTTTACTATTTTGTATGAATGTAGTAAGTGAATTCACAATTTCTTGTAACATCATAGTTATGTAAAAATATAAAGTTCATCACTCTTAGTTCTGAAACATGCTGTGAAATAAAGCTGTGATACTGTGCTTAGCTTGGTTGACTTTAATATGTGTGTATTAATATTCATTAATTTTCCATGCACTGTTGTACCCTACTTATTCAAACTTTTACCATTCATTTCCTACATGTTTCACTAATATCATGCATCACAGTACTGCAGTAGTAACTATATATTAGATTGTCTATTAAAAACAATAGTACAAACTCATATTAAAAGTTAAGCATTCTGTGAATAATTAATGTACAGTACTTCAAATACTTTACATCCTTAAAGGAACATTTACAGTACCAGAGATTTTACAAAGGGGCATTGGTCAATTAGCTATTAGGAAGGAGTACTGCGATGATGGTTTTGCATATGAATGTAAGTTAGGATAGTGGCACGTTTTTTTTTAATGTTCTTGTTATATACTTCTTATGTTTACTGTTTACTAAATAAAACAAGATTATATATATATATATATATATAATATATATATATATATATATATATATATATATATATAATATATATATATGTATATATATATATATATATATATATAGATATATATATATATATATCTTGTTTTAATATATATATATATATATATATATATTATATATATATATATATATATATATATATATATATATATATATATATACATGTATATATATATATATATATATATATATATATATATATATATATATATAATATATATATATATATATATATATATATATATATATATATATATATATAATATATATATAGGGAGGTACCACCTCTAGAACTGTTATAGGGACCCTCATCCTCAGAGAAAAGAATAAACTTGCTTCACGGAAAACTCAAGGTTCTCCCTGAAGCTGTTGAGAATTTTCTCCTACCACCCCCTATATTTTATATATATTTTATTTAAAGACAATATATATATATATATTATATATATATATATATATATATATATATATATATATATATATATATATATATATATATACACAGACTACCAAGAATCAAATAACAAAAAAAAATATGCCAATAACCAAGATGAGAAGGCAACAGTCTAGTACGGGCAGGGATGAAATTTCAATATAAGTGAGGGGCATTCACATAACAGGCAATCAACACATCGTCTTTACCGATCTCCGAATCACGTCGAGGGAAGCACTCTGTGTTATGAGATGGAAAGAGAAGCAATGAAGAAAAAAGCTTGTATGTACACAATAAAACCCTTGTAAGCAATAAAAGGGCATAATAATGAGGTGTAGTGTTCTACAATTTTATTACAATTACTTTATTTCAATATTCAAAAAGTAAAAATTTTATATTAAATATATCTGAGCACAATTAATGTCATGTATCTACTGAACTAAATGTATAATTACAGAACTAGTTACTTAATATTAAATTAAATACTAAAATAATTATTAATTTATATTTAGTAATTTGCATTGACACTAACTTCAAAGACATTAATACAGAAGAGTCCAATTATTTTGTGTGTAGCTATGTTTTATTTATTAATTATTTTTTACAAGCAGATATCTATAAACTGCCTTTTTTTTTTAATTTATAAAATATCAATTCAATTTCTTACCAATAATCTTGTACATTTTTTACTCACTTTATTACATTTTAATGGTCTATTCAAAGCACTGTTTTCAGCTACAGTAGGTATATCACTCCAATATCTTTAAATGTTCAATTATATTTTTCACAAAAAAATTAAGCAAAGCTATCCCTAACTATTTTAATGCAAAAACTTCCTGATTTTAAGGAATAATAAAATATGTAATCAGGTATTATTAATATACAGTATATATATATTATATATACAGTGGACCCCCACATAACGATCACCTCCGAATGCGACCAATTATGTAAGTGTATTTATGTAAGTGCATTTGTACGTGTATGTTTGGGGGTCTGAAATGGACTAATCTACTTCACAATATTCCTTATGGGAACAAATTCGGTCAGTACTGGCACCTGAACATACTTCTGGAGTGAAAAAATATCGTTAACCGGGGGTCCACTGCATTCTTCTTTCAACAAACCGGCCATATCCCACCGAGGCAGGGTGGTCCAAAAAGAAAAACAAAAGTTTCTCTTTTCAAATTTAGTACTTTATACAGGAGAAGGGTTTGCTAGCCCCTTGCTCCCGGCATTTTAGTCGCCTCTTACGACACGCATGGCTTACGGAGGAAGAATTCTGTTCCACTTCCCCATGGATATACAGTGGACCCCCGCATAACGATCACCTCCCAATGCGACCAATTATGTAAGTGTATTTATGTAAGTGCGTTTGTACGTGTATGTTTGGGGGTCTGAAATGGACTAATCTACTTCACAATATTCCTTATGGGAACAAATTCAGTCAGTACTGGCACCTGAACATACTTCTGGAATGAAAAAATATCGTTAACCGGGGGTCCACTGTATATATATATATATATATATATATATATATATATAGGTTACCTGAATTTAAATGAAATGAAATGTAACATTGAAGAATTAATATTAAGAATAGCTGTACAACAAAATGCAAACAAGAATATTTGAATACTCTCAAATATAGAAATAAGTGGACTTCAACTGTACAAGATAAGCAAGTCAGTGTCTGTTTTATTATTAATGCAGAGCAAAAATATTAATAAAAACAACTGTAGGCAACTTAACAAAGGCACTACATTTTCAATGTCTCAATTAAAACTATTCAAATATAAAAACATTTGACACAGTTTCAAGAGTTGTGAGAATTTTATTCATTGTGTTTATACAGTACTATTGTGTTCAATTGTGTACATATATTTTTTCCCAACTTTTTTAATTAATGCCTCAGGGATTTTCAGTTTAACAGTTTGCAAAACATGAAGTAATAATACAGAAATTAGATGGGGAACTGGAATGAAAATTAACAGGACTGAGCTTGGTATATCATATTTACATATTAATTTTTATTGGTTATATGTAGAATAGCACATTTTATATTTTATTATGACTACATTAAAAGAACAAGTTAACTTATTTTTTATAGCCAATTTATGCAATATTAAAGGTTGCATTACTTATATCTGAATATCTTATGCCAAGTGTTTGTTACACTTTTGTTTGAATGTTATGCCAAATTTATGTAAAAACACACCCAGTATCAATTAACCTCAGAACCTAACTGGATACAAAAAGATTCAGTGCTTTACATTTAGTGGTACAATTTGAGAGTCAAATAAAAATAAAATTGGAAGACCATATACTAAATTAAATTTGTTTTAGACCTAAGAATATAAAATTAATGAAGACAGTTAGCACAATTAAAGCAATGTACAAAAGATAATAGTACAAGTCAGCCATCACTGGTCCAGCAGTCAGTAATCCAGTTCCATTAGTAATCCGGCACTAATTTTGGCTAGCATAATTTCAAATTTCCAGGGTCGCCACACCAACCTGCCGTTACTGTCTGGTGGCACTACTTGCTGAATAAGTCATTCCAATTTCTTTTTATCCATTTATTGTTATAACCTGCTCACTTTTAGCCATAGCCATGGTTCCAACGAATAAAAGAAATGCTTCTTGTGTAAAGCACAAACACTCTACATTGTCCATAAAAGATAAGGTGGCATTGAAGCCACTGTCAGTTGCCATGAGCTCACCTTACTAAGCTATGACTGGTAAATTTTGGCTTGCATATGAGAAAATAGGTCTATGTGGTAAGTGTGCACTACATGCATATAAAAAAATCCTGCAGCACGCAGTGAATGAGAAAAAACTGCAACCATGTTTTTGGTGTAAAACAGTGACTTTGCAGTGTACAGTGGACCCCCGCCATTCAGCGGCTGTGACTTTCGTGAAATCCGACTTTCGGCAAGTTTTTTCGGCAAAATTTAGCTTCGTGGTTCATGATTGGACTCGTGATTCGGCGACCTTCTGGTACGCATCTGCCCGTCAGCGCGCACACAAAGCCAGTCTCCCGTACTATTCACACTCGGTGTGCCATTGTTTACCAGCATGTGACCATCACCCCATGGGTTCATACAACACATTTCATAATACAGTGGACCCCTGCATAACGATTACCTCCGAATGCGACCAATTATGTAAGTGTATTTATGTAAGTGAGTTTGTACGTGTATGTTTGGGGGTCTGAAATGGACTAATCTACTTCACAATATTTCTTATGGGAACAAATTCGGTCAGTACTGGCACCTGAACATACTTCTGGAGTGAAAAAATATCGTTAACCGGGGGTCCACTGTACTGTAATTCATTTTTTTGTGCTTGCAACTCCTAAAATAGCCACCATGGGCCTAAAGAAAGCTCCTAGTGCCAGCCCTTTGGTAAAGAAAGTGAGAAACACGATAGAATTCAAGAAAAAAACTCATAACAAAGTACTAAAGTAGAGGAGGATGAGAGAGGGGAGAATGTGCCTTCTGTAGTGATTCAATGATAGTGTAGAATTAACAGTGTAGCAAGTAAGTTAAGCGAGTAAGCGATAGAAAAACAACATGAGAGTAACTCTCCAATGTTGTTGGATGTGTATAGGACCGCTGAACATACACCACCCTGCTATCTTCCACCACCCTAAACCTCTACCAACATCTCCTTCATCAAACTAACTAATTAAACTAACATCTCCTCCAAGGTAAGTGTAAATATAAAAGTGTAAGTATAAAAGTAAATATTTTTTTTTTTATCACACTGGCCGATTCCCATCTTAAGGCAGGGTGGCCCGAAAAAGAAAAACTTTCACCATCATTCACTTCATCACTGTCTTGCCAGAAGGGTGCTTTACACTACAGTTTTTAAACTGCAACATTAACACCCCAATGGAAATATGTCATTCTTGAATTTTTGGGGTTATCCTGGGTACTTTACACATATGCTGCTATGTATGATAATCTATGTATGCAACTGTATTTGTGTATACCTGAATAAACTTACTTATTTATAGGTTGGTAGACAGCAACCACCCAGGGAAGTACTACCGTCCTGCCAGATGACTGTGAAACAAAAACCTGTAACTGTTTTGCATGATGGTTGGATTGCTGGTTTCTTTTTCTGTCTCATAAACACGCTAGATAACAGGGATATCTTGCTACTCCTACTTACACTTTGGTCACACTTCACAGACACGCACATGCATATATATATATACATACATCTAGGTTTTTCTCCTTTTTCTAAATAGCTCTTGTTCTTTTTTATTTCCCTTCTATTGTCCATGGGGAAGTGGAAAAGAATCTTTCCTCCGTAAGCCATGCGTGTCGTATGAGGCGACTAAAATGCCGGGAGCAATGGGCTAGTAACCCCTTCTCCTGTTTTACATTTACTAAAAAAGAGAAGAAGAAAAACTTTATTAAAACTGGGGGGCTTAAATGTGCGTGGATGTAGTGCGGATGACAAAAAACAGATGATTGCTGAGTTATGAATGAAAAGAAGTTGGATGTCCTGGCCCTAAGCGAACAAAGCTGAAGGGGGTAGGAGAGTTTCAGTGGGGGGAAATAAATGGGATTAAATCTGGAGTATCTGAGAGAGTTAGAGCAAAGGGAAGGGGTAGCAGTAATGTTAAATGATCAGTTATGGGAAAGGAGAAAAGAGAATATGAATGTGTAAATTCAAAAAATTATGTGGGGTTAAAGTAAAGGTTGGATTGAGAAGTGGGGTCATAATAAGCGTGTATGCACCGGAGAAGAGAGGAATGCAGAGGAGAGAGAGAGATTTGGGAGATGTTAAGTGAATGTTAGGAGCCTTTGAACCAAGTGAGAGAGTAATTGTGGTAGGGGACCTGAATGCTAAAGTAGGAGAAACTTTTAGAGAGGGTGTGGTAGGTAAGTTTGGGGTCCAGGGGTAAATGATAATGGGAGCCCATTGATTGAACTTTGTATAGAAAGGGGTTTAGTTATAGGTAATACATATTTTAAGAAAAGAGGATAAATAAGTATACAAGATATGATGTAGGGCGAAATGATAGTAGTTTGTTGGATTATGTATTGGTGATAAAAGATGTTGAGTAGACTTCAGGATGTACATGTTTATAGAGGGGCCCACAGTATATCAGATCACTTTCTAGTTGTAGCTACACGGGAGAGTAAAAGGTAGATGGGTACAAGGAGAATGAAGCATCAGGGAAAGGAGAAGTGAAGGTTTATAAAACAAAAAGAGGAGGCAG